AGCCACTCCGAGACCTGGAGATGTGCTCCTGCAAGGTTTACCTTCCATCAGAAGACAAGTGGATGGGGAGACCCACTCTGTCTGGTGGGGGCATTATGAGTCACAAATTCACTGGAAGGTCCCTGAAGACAACAACAAGAGATTCGTGGTGGTATGGCATGTGGAGAATCTGGCTGGCAAGCACTTCACCACGGAGAGTTCTTTTGTCCAGCGTTGTTTGGGGGGAGGGATAACAAAGTCTCCTGTTTGTGTTAGCACTGCCTTAGAACATCTGCTAGGGGCACTACTCCATGAAAGACTGTGTTTGAAGTCTGCCCTCCAGGGGAGGGTGGCACACGGAGCGAAGCAGGGAGATGTCGTAACTCCTAACATGCCTCTGCAGCTAAATTAAGGTTTTCAATGCCTTCTTCCTTCTGAAGGACTGGGTTGATAGTGGTGACTAAAACCATTTGCTTCTGTTCCATTTATAGCAACCCTGGTTTGCTCCATGGTTGTCCCCCTGCGGGGTGGTGGTTAGGAAGGGGTGGTGTTGCCTGCTCTTCTCATCTGGAAGTCTTGGTGACTTGGACATCATCTCCTTTGTATACTCAGTGAGGCCTTTGCAGCCAGTTACCACTTCACCATGGTCAATCATCGTCCTAACAAGTCTTCACGTGCAATGACGATGCAATGACTTGAGCTCCTGAGTATGTGACAAATGCCATGTTACCCCCCTCCCCACCACCACCACCACCCAGGTGCTCCACACATGGTCTGTCTTAGGAGGAGGTGTTTCTCCTCTAAATGAAAAAGGAGTGGTGAGGTTGTCCTGTTTTGGTGGCCCAGTTGAGTGCATTTGGCCTCTTGTTAAAAAAACAAAAACAAATGAAATGTTGAACTGAGGCCTTTATTGTACAAAGAATTTTCTTTTAAAAAAGAAGTGATGGATGCCAGTTTTCTTTTCCTAGTACTACTTATTGCATTGTCTTAGATTTGTTCTCTTTATTGGGTCTGTTTTGCAAGCCTGAATGTGAGCCTGAAGAGTTTCTCCATATAAATGTCTTAAGTATTGCAGGGGCACATCCATCACCTCCTTGCCTGTGAATTACAAAGAGAACCTTACGCTATGAGCCTTAGACTGGGCAAGGCGATACATGCACAGAAAGGGTGAGCCTCCTTCATGATGCAATCAGCCAATGCCCAAGAGGAGAGTAACAGGCAGAAAGGATGGCCTTGATGAAAAAATTGATTCTTTTCCACTAAACTGTACGTGATGTGTTTTTTATGAAGCAGGCATCAGCTGAAAAAAGAAATGTTTTCTCAACAAGAGAGATTCATGGTGAGGGCGAGGAAACGTCTGTAAGGGATCAAGGGATAAATACGTGTCTTATTCCATTACCATCTCAAAGAATGAGCAAGGTGACAAGCATTCCATTGTAGTTGCGTAGAGTGTTTACTTGAACCTGGTGTTGTTAAAACGCTTTAATGTGAGGAATAGCTCTCTCGTTTTAAGTGCCTTTGGACTGCCCGCACCTTCATGCTCTCCACACTAACACTGGTGTTGCTTCTTTCTAGGCCTGCCCAAGATGCAGGTCATTAGGAACTACACTGGGACGCCACCCCCTGCTCTCCATGAAGGACCCCCACTGCACATCCAGGCCGGGGACACGGTTGAACTTCTGAGAGGAGATGCACACAGTCTGTTTTGGCAGGTACTCCCCACACTACACGTTTTTAGACATCATGGGTGATCTTACTACTCCTCAGAGAGCAAAGTGCTGGTCTTCGGAAACTAATTGCATGCTTCCCGCCTCAGAAATTTTACACGATTTGAGGGGAAATGATTTTACACTAGCCTTTCTCATATTTACTCATGCGGAAATGGCCATGAGTGTCCGAATGCTAAAGAAAAATAATAGTGCTATGAGCCATAATTACTATTTTTATTAAAAATTCATACTTTGCTTCCCACCCCCCACCCCCTGCCCAACTCAAGGCCTGTGAGTATGATTCATTTGCCTGGCTTTAATAGATTAACATTTCACTTTAGGGCAACTCCCTAATTAGCTTGCCAGGGGCCATTTCTTGCTGTATTTGATCTGTGCTTGCCCACCCTAATACCTGAAGGTCTCAGAGGTGCTGTGGGCATTAGTCATGAAATACACGAAATGTGAAAAGTAAAAGTGAGCAACTTGCTGCTTACAGGTGATGAAATCTCTTTGGTCGGCAAGCCTTTATTTGGTTGAAGGTTTTTTTTCTCACTGAGAGAAATAAGGTATCATATTGAGATTTTTATAGAGCTGGGTGGTAGGCTATTACTGTTCATTAAGTTACTCCCTGACTCAGTGGTGTATGCTAGAAATATTGTCCACTACAGTTAGAGAATTTCCCTAAAAATGTCTGGTTCATTGAGGGAAAGGGGATTGGGAATCAGGAGGAAGGTTCACAGAAGTGAAATTTGACTGAAAGTGCAGAGAGGAAACGGCAAAGGCCCACTGGATGGCGTTCTGTTAAACAGGTATCTGCATGATAGCTATAGGTGTATTTTAAATTATTTTATTTACTGCTCTTCAGGAGGAAGTTGGGGCGCTCTACTCCTATAAGGAGTTCCAGTCTCACAGAGGCTGCCCTGCCTGGTTCCATTGCGTCACTATGAGTTCTCATTGACTGGATGGCAGTGAACTTGACTTTGGTTTTGACATCTTGTTATAAAAGGTTGTCCCTAGGTCAAGCATTCACCTTGGGCCACCACTTCAATTGCTATCAACAGTGACGGTAGAAGGCTCTAGATCACTCTTCTTAGACCTCTACACCTGACTACACCACTCAGAC